CTATTTTTAGTACAAAAAGGAGGACATGTCCGGGTAAATCCGGACGAATGGTAACCCTAGCTTGCGTGAACCACAGAGCTACATGTGTCTGAGTGAAGCCCCAGTTGTACAGATGTGTCTCTGCGTCTGACTGCCAGTGAAATGGACTTGGGCATGTCTAGCACATCTCCTGGTCCTTATTTCTCTGGTAGTGTGAGCTGATGTGAGCTTGTCATAGAGAGCCTGTGTGGTGTCATCTGTGGGGGGATTTTTTTTTTTTTATATATTTTCTTTTTTCAGGAGAGGCCTAGTCAAAGAAATGTTAACAGCTGGCAGATGCACAGACATCCTGCAGCACAGCAGGGCCTAAGAGAGCAGCACCTCTGCATTCTAGTTCTACTATATCTAGTGTGTGACCTGCCCTCGCCCGCAGACCTCTCATCACCCATGAAACCTTCCTTAGAATCACAGAATATCCGGGTTGGAAGGGACCTCAGGAGGTCGATCTAGTCCAACACCCTGCTCAAAGCAGGACCAATTCCCAACTAAATCATCCCAGCCAGGGCTTTGTCAGCCCGGGCCTTAAAAACCTACCAAGGAAGGAGACTCCACCACCTCCCTAGGTAATGCATTCCAGTGCTTCACCACCCTCCTAGTGAAATAGTGTTTCCTAATATCCAACCTGGACCTCCCCCTCTGCAACTTGAGACCATTGCTTCTTGTTCTGTCATCTGCCACCACTGAGAACAGCCGAGCTCCATCCTCTTTGGAACCCCCCTTCAGGTAGTTGAAGGCTGCTATCAAATCCCCCCTCATTCTTCTCTTCTGGAGACTAAACAATCCCAGTTCCCTCAGTTCCTTGTTGCTGAATGCAGGTCCCGAACTTGTGAAGTGCTGAGGGTGCTTCATTCCCAGGACTGAGCTCTTAGTTGAAAAGTCCCTCATGACTGGAGAGGCAGCATGTCCAGCTATATCCTCCATAAGCCTCTTGGCTTTCCTCCTGAGTAACCCTATCTGCACAGGCTTCCCACAGAATCTATTGTAGCTGTGGTTCAGATTTCATGAGGTGCCAGGTGCTTCCTGCAACATGCTCAGCACCCTCACCTCTGATTGACACCTCTGGGAGTTGAGGGCTCTTGGCACTGTGCTGAAGTAGTACGGCACATTGCAAGGTCAGGCCCTGAGGCTGGATGGACCGGGTCAAACAAAAGAAGAACCAACCTGAACCATTGCAATGAAAGCTTGGAAAATTGAGGAAACTCGGTCTCCATCCAATGTACACCCATAAATGAGGATGAGACAGGAGGGAAGGAAAAATTAACTGCAAATCTCCTGACATTTCCCCCCTTCATTATCCATGGAACAGGTACAGTGTGGGCAAACTTCCCCATCACTAGCCCAGCAATGCGCCACAGCCTCACCCTGGAAAGAGGGACCACCACTAGGATATAAGAGGGGAGCTCAGTCTCCATGGCCCATTCAGTGCCTGACACCTCTACTGAGACTGCCAACAATGGTCCAGTTAGGATGAGCGGGATTTTTGGACACTTGCCCATGAGTAACTGGACTAAGACCCATCAACGCAAAAGACACAATTAAAAAGAAACTGGAACCACACAACGACCCACCTTGAGCTGAGAACCTCTCTACGATTCTCCACCCAGTTGACAGGGATTTTCCCAGGGTGAGCAGGTGGCAAAGCAAACTCTGGGTGAATGAACAGGCCAATTTTATCCCTGCAGTGACTTCATTGGGATGGATGTGGTCCAATGTACTTGGGTCCTGATCTCCAGCCACTGAAGTCAATGGAAAGACTCCCACTGACTTTAATGAGCTTTAGATCAGGCCCTTCATGATAAGATAGAGGGGACTGGCTAACAAGTGAAGGTGGGAATGGTCTCTGCGGCCCATTGAGACAGAACTAAATAAGAACAGCAGCTTCTTCCTTCCTGGTATCTCATCCCCCAACGTTCTCAACTTAGAGCAAGTTAAATGAGCTTGAGGAGATTGAAGGGAAAGAGAAGCAGCCTCTTCCTTCATTACCAAGCTACTGCAGCTTTAATAAAGAATGGCTTTTCGGTTCGTTATCATCTGGCTGTAATTAAAATATTAATAATTGCAACTCCCTCCCTGGAGTCATTTATCATGGTCTGCAGGGAAATTGCTCCTGCTCATGGGATTGTCTTCCATGTGACCAGCTGACCCAGCAAGAAATCCAGAGCTCCAGCTCTGTCTGTAAGTAGGGGGAGGTGTGTTAACACAGGGCCCAAGTGTGACTTTGCCCTAAGCCCTGAGCAAGTTATCCTGCCCCTGGAGCAGACCAGCAAGCAGATTGTGACTTAACAAGAATTCCCCCTTGCTTTGGTAGAAGTACCCTGTGCCAGGCTACCTGAACAGGTGTGCTGACTGGCACATAGGGGAAGGATATGGCACCGAGATTCTGCCAATGCACATGGGGTAGGAGAGATCTAGCTGCCCTGTACAAACTGCTCTCACCTATAGGCAGCTGCCAATGCTGGGATGCATAGGTGAGTCCTACTGTCCTGCACAAGCCAAGCCACCATCTGGCCCATAACAAATACTGGCTAGGGTTTAGGGTGTCACTAGGTAATGGTTGCTCCTAGTGGCTTGACTGGCCTTCCTCTTTAGTTCTCGGTAGCTCTGAAAGGAATTAACAGTATTGTAGCAATCTGATGGCTCCCGTCTCTTTCTTTTCAGGGCAGGAGACAGCATTATTGCAATGACAATAAATAGCATGGGAAAAACAGTGAAGAGCTTTGAACTTTTTTAGAGCTCTTCCTTTTGTTAGGGATGAGATTTCCAAAGCAGTCCAGGGGAGTGAGAGCCATCTCTCCTGTTAAAAGTAATGGCAGGTGTGTGTACAGTCTTCAAGTCTGCTTTGAAAATCTCACCCTACGTTTGTCAGCTCAACTAGTCGTTTTATTTTTGTTATAACCACAGTGGCAGAGTTGGCCTGAGAGTCTTTGCCTCATCTCCTAGAGAGCTAGGTCAGAGAGTCCCGGCTGGGGTCAGAGGTGGAAGGGTGGCTGGAGAAGGGATTTCAACTAAATTAAACAAAAGCTTTGAGATGTTTCGCTTCAAAGGGAAGATGCCAGCGGAAACTCATCATCTCCTTGCTGCATTGGGAGGCAGGGATGTTATTAACCTCATTGACCCTAATTCAAGCACTGGAAGCTGGGGCCCAAAAGTCTGCTCCTTGATGTGGTCAGTAAGGGCTTGTCTACATTACTTGAAGGTTAATATGGATTAAGGGAGTGTGTAGATAAAAGCTCACTAGTTATTCCTGAACAATTCCATGTGTGGACACCCTTAGAGCTGGTCTACACAGGGATTTATTCCTGATTAGTTTATTCTGAATTAGCTTAATTCATTTTGAAAGTGGATTAAGTTAATTCAGAATAAGGTCAATTATTCAGGAATAGCTATTCTCGTTTAAATTTACACCCTACCTTCACCCAAATTAACTTCTTTGTGTAGACAAGTCCTAATATAGGCGCTTAGACCAGCAGGCAAAGGTTGCTTTAACTGTAAGGCCGCATGAGCTACTTTCAACTCTTGGATGACAACCAAGCCCATAGCTCACCTGACCCTGGAAGTCTTACCTCTTCTTCAGTAGATGCTTTGCAACCACCTTTGCTAGCATCCATTCCTGCAGCCACTTGTCCCAAGTCTTACTACACCTTCCGTGCCTCCTATGAGGTCTTGTTTCAAATGCCCCTTCTGCCGCAGTCCCCAAGACACTCCTCCTGAGAATCCCTGCAAGGTCAACCCCATTTCCATTAGTGATGGGCCTGAAATAAAAGCCCAGAACCAAAACAACTCTGATTTTTTGGGTTGCTTGATGTTTGAATCAGGTCAATGGCAGAGACAGGCCCAAATATGCTCTAGGTAAAAAACATGTTCTAGCTCAGCTAGAAGGAATGGGCTTGATGCAGTTACCATAGGGTGAAAGTCTATGGCCTGTGCTTTGCAGGAGGTCAGATCAGATGATTGTAATGGTCTCTCCTGGCCCTAAAGTATATGAATCAATGCTCCTGTCATGATAATGGACCAAACCAGATCCAAATACTCCTCAAACTTTGGAGTGTTCAAAAATCAGAATCCAGGTCTTGCAGCTTGGGTTGTCTCCGGCTTGGCAAGAAAATATTCCATCTGAAAAAAAAAAAAACCTAAAGGGAGAAAAAGACTTTGTGGGACGTGTTTGGCCAAAGATCCATTTGTTTTTGACTGACAGAGGCCATGATAAGTGATCAGACCCAGCTCTCACCCTCCTACCCCAGCTGGGTTTCCATAGACCGCAGTGTTGAAAACATACATGTTGTTGAGTGTTTCTCTCTCTTTCTTTTTTAAGCGCCTGCTTTGCTAAAAGAAAAATCAATAGCATAAAGGGTAGTCAAAGCGAGTCTCAGGAGATGAGTATCTAGCCTGCATTCTGCAGACAGGCTGCCAATAATCTTGTTCTGATCAGCTTTGCCCGACAGCCACCGAAATATTAATGGGGGCTATAGCCGCTTCTGTTTGGGTATTTGAGATCCTTTGCAATCTCTTGGAGCCTGTTGACAATAAGAAGCAATTACCACTTAAAAATTGTGCCTGTAAACAAGTGCCAGCTTCCCGGCATCCTGATTATAAAGGTGGCATGTTGTGCACTCCATATTCATGAAACAAAGATACAAATTAACCCAGCCCGGCGGTTGGATTAGTCGCAGAATGAAGCGTTGCAATTACCGGAGATGACTGAGGCTAATCAGGATGAACGGGTACAGTGTAAGGAGAGCTGGGATCCTGGAAGAACTGTTTCCCCAATCCTTTTAAGCAACGTTCCCCATTTAAATCCCCTATCGTTATGAAAGTGTGGGGGGCCCCAGAGCAGCTGCACTGATCATTAGGAATTCATTCAGGAACAGCATGGCGATCTCAGGGCTGTGCATTCCACAGGAGTTTTGCCACAATTCAAGATGGGTTAATGTACCATTAACAGGAAAAGGGGATTTTGCTCATTACTTTCCCAGCACAACAAAACATTTTGGTTTACGACAAAGAAGGTGGTTAAATGGGCTCGTTAATTTTTTTCCTTTCCTATTATTGCCAGTTAATTATCCAAGCTATCCAGGACTGGAGCGTTAACCATCAGAGTCCTGCTCCTTCACTAATAGCTAGCCAAGATCAAAGAAACAGGTGTCCACATTGAGTCCAATTGAAGTCAATGAAGACGTGACTGCAGGATTGAGCCCTCATTGACACAAGTGATGGGGACCGGTTGCAATAGGCAAATGTTGTGAATTAGCAAATCCTGCTCCACCCCCACCTCCCCCCGAAACCCAAACCAACCAAAAATACCCTAACAGCCTCACAAGATCTGCTTTGTTCAATTAATTTTGACTAACGTTGCTTAGTTTTAATTATTTACGTGGCACACTCTTGCTAACTCTCATGATTTTACCATGAGTCTTGGGATGATATTTGGTGCTTTTCTGAAAGCCCCAGTTCCTGGAGTCATGTGAGAAGCTCAGCTTTCACTTTTTTTATAAAAGGATAAGTGTGGAGGGAAAAAGCTTAAGACTGTGACCCCTAAAAGCTCAAAGCTCAGAAAGTAAGCCTCATGATTTTGGAGGTGTCTGACTCATGATTTTGAAATGCTTGGCTTGGGGATATAGTAAGCATGTCTTCCCACTGCACGACCAAATATGCAGGAGAATATAACGAAGTTTGATCAGCATGAAACCTCACCACAGCATTTTCTTTGCTGCACAGTCTGAGCCAAGAAGCTGAGCGAGACCCTGCCAGGTTTTGAACTTGTGGATTATTGGGTTTGCAGATTAGCACAGTGAGAATTAGCACAGTTCTGCTGTATGATTATCATCTTTCGCCAATCACCCCCGGTTTCTTCCACCCCACATTGATCTCACAGCATTAGCCACAGCCTCACAGAAGACGCTGGGACAAATCCTTGGCTGGTGCACTTTGACGTGGCTCCACTGAGGGCAACAGAGCTATGCCCATTTCCATCAGCCGAGGATTCAGCCCTCTGTGTTTGGTGCCGCCGTGGCCTCGAAGTGCAAAGAGGGTAGGGGAGACTGGGAGTGCAGGATGGAATCAGAGTAAAAGTGATTGGAGGGGCCTGTCTCTTTCTTGGACACCTGTGCGATCCCGCTAGAGAAAGGAGACAATAGAAGAGAAAAGACTTTTATAATTACCTGGTGGCTACTTTCTGTGGGTCTAGTTAACCGGCACTCTGTCTCCATAGGAAATAGCCTTGGTTTGTGCCTGAACCTTTTGTTCAGAAGAGCTGCAGGTGGGAGAGCTTTGAACTGTGTGAGAAAAGCCCGGCACTAAAAAAGAAACTCAAAGCCTCCCTCCTAAAGACTTCTTATAGCAGTTGTGCAGCCCCGGACGCACCAAAGCCGCCTTTCAGCTCTGAATGGGGAGGAAGGGCTCTGAAAGGCCAACATCACCCCCCACCCCTCCTTTGTCTGTCCTTTTGCTAACCACCCCCTACCCCATTTGTCCTGCTAAACCTTCAAGGTCATGCAAGGCTTCAATGCCCCCTTTCACTTGCTATTTGTTACCAAATAAATATGGGTGATTAAAAAGGGATCAGGAATCCGTGCAGACTGTAGAGGTGCCTGAGAAGGTGGAGTTGTCCTCTGTGTAGCCCATGGCTTTTAGCCCTACATGAGTTAGGAAACGCAATCACATAGGAATAAAAAGCCATAGACCACAGCAGAGGGCTTACCGAGGATAAGCCAGCCGTCTTTAGGGAAATAAAAAGAAAAAGGGAAAGGGAAAAAACATAAAAATAATGAAACCCCTCTTAGTCTCTCGGAACTGGGGCCACCTGGACTCCATCTCTGACTCCCCAGAGTTCACAGGTTCCCGAAGGAAATTTAATTTAACTCCAGCTATGCCCCGGAGTAATTTGCTCCACTTCCAAATAAAGTCAACGGCCTATCATGTGATCTCTCCCCACTGCCATTCCCTTTATCTTTCTTGGGCCATCCTTGACATGAGTTTGGTAGCCTCAGCTTAGCTGCTTTTACGGAACAGGACATGCTGTCTAATGAAGGCCATTATGGAGTCTTGACCATGCGTCGCCTCCACTGATTAGCTAAAGCCTGTCGCAATCCAGCTGGGAAGCCTACAATGAGCTAGTTGCTGTTCTCACTAGAAGGCTAAACCTAGCCGAACACCTAGGAGTTTCGCCTGCAGGACCTGACTTGCAGTGTATATGAATACCCACCTGTCTGGATGAAGTACACTAATGGCAGTGGATGCCTGGAAAGGCCATATTCTGATTTTAGCTACCCCATGTAAATCCAGAGTAACTGAAGTCAGTGGCGTTACTCCAGATTGACAGTGCTGTAACTGAGAGCAGAATCTGGCCCTAAGCATTTTAAAATACTATTGCGGTCGGAAGAGTGACAGTAAAAGGGACATCTTGAGGGTGTGCATCTATGTCCAGCAGTTTGCACTGTTTACAAATCAAAAGCTCTAAAATCCCAGCTTTTCTCCTTCTGCCTCTCATCTCTTTGTCAGCGATACAGGTTTTGCAGTCAGAGCTTTGCTGGCAAGGCAGCTGATGGTGCAAACACCGCACTGGATTGAGTCTCCTCTCACACCAGTGTAAATTGCGAGGAGCTTCACTGCCTAGTCAGTGCCATTCTTCTGGTTTAAAATTAGAGTGAGGGAGAGGAGGGTTAGGGAAATAGCATGCACCACACTTCTCCCCTGCCGCACAGACTCCTGCAGGGCTAAGGGAGTAACGCTGGGTTTGGGTCAGTAAAGTCAGCAGCAGCTTCGTTCCGGGCTCATCCCTGCAAGTTCTCCAAACCCAGAGGTCATGGGGAGCTCCGATCATGGAGGAGTTGTACGATTGGGCCCTGAGTTTTATGTTAAGGTTGCTGCATTCTTCCTCGCTTACAAAGACCTCTTTAAGGGGCAGATCCTGATCCCTCTGGAGCCTTTGGGAATTTTACCATCGACTTCAAGAGCAGCAGGACTTGGTCCTTAGAGTCCTACCCTGCAAGATACTCAGCGCCCATATCTACCATGGACTGCAGTGTGAAATGAGGTGTTCAGCACCTCACAGGGTTGGGGTCAAAATATGCAAGAATGTGGAAACTCCCTATTAAGGACACCTATGTATATTGGGTCCAATTCTTCTCTCACTTACGTAGGCATTTTAATGTAGTAACTCCTGATTTGCTCCAGTGTAAATGAGAAAAGAACCAGGCCCATCGTTTCTAATTCCCTTCGTGTTGATTTGCAAGTGGAATGATCTAAAACGGGCAGTTAGAAAGCCCTGCGCCCTTCTCATCCATGTCGTAACGTTGTATTTTTACAAGCTGCACCGTAGCATTGTAGTTCTTGGGGCAGCACTGTCTTCCAGCAGAGTTGAATCACAACATGCTCCAATCCTGCTCCCATTGAAACCAATGGCAAAACTTTCAGGGACCAGATGTGTACAGCACGAAGGAGCTTATTTTTACATAGTCCATTTGTGGCCATAACTGCACCTGCAGCATTTTCTGCCTGTTCTGCTAAATGCCTGCCATTGGCATCCCATATGGTAGCATTTTATGTTGCTTTTAAGGATCTCAAAGCACATGATAAACATTGGATCAGATCCTCAGCTGGGCGTAATTCAGTGTAGCTCCAGTGTACACCCACTGAGATCTGGCCCATTAAGTACAGTAATACTTTGCACTTATAAAGCCACTTTCCTTTGAGGATGTCCAAGGAGTTTCCAAAGGTGG